GCAGTAATATGTTTCAGGGCTTTAATAATAGACCCTAACTTCTCCTTGTAATCATAATTCATTTTACAAAAAGGGACAGTATTGTTTTATATCTTTTAAATGTATAGGTATACACAATACTTATACATATATAGTATTTTGTGTATATGTGTGTGTGTGTATACATAGCTATATCCATACTTACATAGCTATCCTGGTCTTGGTATATAGAGCTGACATTATCAGCATTTCCAAAAAATTGTCATGGATTGTATTAAAATGAAGGCATAATTTTTCCCAATTTGTTTTGTGAGCAATGAATAACTTGAGTGAGGGTACCATACATGGTGGGTTTCTGTCTGGAAATAAAGATATAGTGTGTTTTAGTGCCAAAGAAGCAAATACGTTTAGTTGAATGAACATGAAGTTGGTTTCATTAACTTCATGATCTAAATCAACTGAGACAACCATTCAGATGAAGATAAGGTAAGATATCGGTTTTGCCTATTGTGAATTAGGTTTATAATCAATCTAGTTACATTTGATACTCTATCTTATCTATGGAGCTGATATATATTCATATTGGAAATATTTTTAATAATCTGATCTTGTGCTTTTCTCAAGAATTTTCAAAAGTCTCAAGATTTTTAATTATAATTTGTATTGATTGTTATGCATCACTACTTTGTGAAAAGTAATGCCTTTGTATGTCGACCTTTTTATGATCCAGAGCATACATTAATATACCTATTATTATTTACATTTTCTTCAAAGTTTCATAGATTTTTATTGTACTTCATAGCATTTCTATTGACCCTAAAGGACCAAGGATATTTTAAATCACTGATAAAAATTGCAATAGAGTAGAAATGTGAAACCTCTCATGTTCCTATTACATATGCTAAATTTTAAAATTAGAAGAAAATGCTAAATTTTGGCTATAGGGTTTTGTCTGGATGTATATGTTTTTATCCTCAACCATTACAGGTTATATATGCTACAGAAGTGACCACCCAGTGTCAAGTACTAAGCAGGATTTTTTGCCTTGTTACCTTTTATAACCGGTAACAATCATATGCTTTTAAAGAGTTTCCTATAATGATACATTTTCTGACTGCATGTCAAAAAATTAGAATACAATATTCATAAATTAATAAAATGGATTAAACCATAATTTAAATTATAGTTTATGGATTATTTAAAATATTTAAGAACTTCTCATGCTGGTTAGCTTTAATAATCTTATTTAACAAATTGATAAGTTTATAAAATAATTGCATGATTAAAATAATCACATTGGTTTTAAAAAACTTTTTTTTTTAAAGAGAAATTTTTTTGCTATAGGGTTCATATGCTTGCTGGGGAGACAGAGGGATACAGAGAGACAGGAAGGGAGAAATCATCGCTACCAGGGGAGATGGCCACACTGCAATCCCTTCTCCTCTCAGGATTTTGGTCATGCATGCACACATGCTTGGCATGAGTTCTAAGTCACTAGGTCAGAGACTTGAATCACGATCAACTATGTGGGAGTCCAGCAATGTAACCCTTATGCCATTTGCTGGTCCCCCAGAAAACATTTTTAAAAATTAATTTCTTCTTCTTTTTTTTTTTTTTTTTTTTTGCTATAGGGTGCATGTGCTTGCCAGAAAGACAGAGAGAGACAGAGAGACAGAAAGCAAAAAATCACCCCTCAGGGAGGATGGCCATGCCGCAATCCCTTCTCCTCCATTCCTCTCTCGGGATCTTGGGCACGCATGCACATGCACCCAGCATGAGTTTAAGCCGCCCGGGTCCAGTACTCGAACTGCAGTTTACTACATGGGAGTCCAGCGACATTGCCTTTATGCTAACTGCTGGTCCCAACTTATTTCTTAAGAAAGGGATAAATGTGTGACCTTAACAGAGTCTCATCACACTGCAATAACTCCCTATTTTCCAGGCTTCCAACCAGCCTGGATCATGGGGGCACCTATGGATGTAACTTGCACATTCATGTCAACCTGGGATATGAAAAAGCTGGGTTTCTTTCATGACTCCACTCTCAGCTGGCAGCACCGCACCACCTGCTGCATTGTTGCTGGGCCCGTGTTGGTGTTAACTACTGCAGATTTGGCTATTTGTTTATACATTCATTCAAATTACTTATTTAATTTATTTTGAAATTTTTATTTATTTACTTTTTTGGAAAGGTTTTTGCTATAGGGTGCATGTGCTTGCCAGAAAGACAGAGAGAGAAAGACAGACAGAAAGTGAGAAATCACCCCCCCCCCCAAGAGGGATGGCCATGCCACAATCCCTTCTCTTCCATTCTCCTCTCAGGATCTCGGGCACACACACACATGTGCCTGATGTGAGTGTAAGCCACCAGGTCCAGGACTCAAACAGTGGTCAACTACATGGGAGCCCAGTGACATAGCCATTATGCCAACTGCTGGTCACTCGAATTATTTATTAAAAACATTTCAGCACTAGTCAGTGAGTAAGTAAAACAAGAGTCCAGTGCTTCTATCTCAAGTTTGTATTTTATTCAGCCTTTAGAGCCGAAAGGCATACCGTGGGCTATGAGAAGTACAGAACTCTGGGCTTCAATTAATAAAATCTGAGGTGTGGAATAGAAAACCCCATATTAAAGAAATATCCACAATTCTGAAGCATATTCTTAAGTTACACTTTGATGGTCAAGTAATTTTGGGGGGTCCATTTACCAGATCATCGTTATTCTCTTTGAAACTACCCAGTGCTTGCTGCTGAGTTTAGAAATCTTCCAAGGTCATTAGCACAGTTCCTCCCTCACTCTCAAACCTTCCTGGACCAAGATTTTCCTAACTCTAAGTTATCCTGGAATCCTTCTGCTCTTGATAGAGGGCAACTCATACTTTGAGATGAGGACCTCTGTCCTTGCTATTGTCTCTAATGGGAATCCTCTTTCCTGGATCTGCTCAGCATTCAGGTCTCAACTTAATCCCCACCTCCCTGCAGGTTTTCCCATAAAATCTGTATCTTGGCATTCTCTATCAAATTCTATTCTATATCAGAAACAAAAGGCAAATCTAGGCCATGTGTAAAACATATAGACTTAAAGGGACCAGCAGATGGGGTAGTAGTTATGTTGCTGGACTCACACATGGCTGACTTTGGTTCGAGTCCTAGACCTGGTGGCTTGAAAATCATCCTGGACATGTGTGCCCAAGATCCCAGAAGAAAAATGGAGGAGAAGGGATTACAGCATGCCCATCCCTCTGGGGCTGATTTCTCACTTTCCTTCTTACTATTCTGTCCCTTTCTCTCTCCAGAGAGTGCACATACCCTGTGACAAAATACCTCTAAAATGTGTGTGTGTGTATATATATATATATATATATATTTATATTTATATATTTAGGTCTTATACCAGGTATTATCAATTAGTAATTTCACCAAAAAAAAAAAAAGAGCCTAGGAATCTGTACTTTCTATATGCATGTCTGTGTGTGTGTAGGGGGAGAGGGTAAGGGCACGTAATGTAAGATTTAGCCTCTTAAATTTTTAAGTGTACAATACAGTATTTTTTATTATAGGCACTATGTTATACAGAAGAACTTACTTGTCTTGCATAACTAAAACTTTATACCAACTGAACAATACCATACCATTTCATTCTCTCCACACCTCCTAGGAACAATCATGCTACTCTCAGCTACAAAGGATTTGACTATTTTAGATAACTAATATAAGTGAAATCATTCAGTATTTGTCCTTTTTTGACTGGCTCATTTCTCTTAGCATGTCTTCCAGGTTCATCCATGTTGTTGCATATGTTATAATGTTCTTTTTGTAGGCTCAGTAATATTCCATTGTATGTATACACTTTTTTTGGGGGGCACAATTGCTAAAGAGAGAGAGAGAGAACACTCTCTTATGGGGCATGGTCATTTCACAATCTCTTCTCTTCCATTTCTCCATCCTCTCTGGATTTTAGACAGGCACACACATGCACCTGGTTTGTTTCTGAAGTTTCTGGGGCTGGGGTTAGAACCACATGGTCAGCCATGTGGAAACCAGATTTCTTAAATACAAGGCTATGGGGCTGGCCCTATACTATGCTTTGTTTATCTCTCTATCTGTCAATGTATATTTAGGTTCTTTTCATACCTTAACTATTGTTAAATACTGCAATGCACATGAGGATGCAAATACTATTGGAGATTCTGATTCAATTCTTTTGTAACATATCCAGAAGTGGGATTGCTGGATTATATGAAAGTTCTATTTTTCAGTTTTCGAGGACTTTCAATACTCCTTGTTCTCACCAACAGTGTGTAAGGGTTCCAATGTTTCCACATTTTAACAAGTGTAAGGTGGTATCTCAACTTTCATATGCCTGTTGGTCATTTGAATGTCTTCTTTGGAGAAGACATATATTTTTCTCAGTTTAAAATCAAGTTATTATTAGCTCTGCTATTGAATTGTAGGAATATTAGTTGTAATATGGATATTAACTCTATAGTAGATATATGGTTTACAGTTAGTTGTCCCTTTCTATAGGTTGTCATCTCTGCTGAGTGTTTCCTTTACTGTGCAGAAGGTTTTTAGTGTGACAGAGTCCCATTTGTCTACTTTCACTTTTGTTACCTGTGCTTTCAGTGTCATATTCAAAAAAATTTTTGCTAATATCAATGTCATGAAGATTTCCCCCCTATGCTTTCTTCTAGGAGATTTGTAGTTTTAGGTCTTATATTTAAACCATTTCGAGTTGATATTTGTGTATGGTGTAAGATAAGGATCCAATTACCTTTTCAAAATGTAGATATCCAGTTTTACCTGCACCATTCATTGAAGATACTTTTCTTTCTCCTTTGCATAATCCTTGTAACTCTTGTTTAAGCTGTTGACTAAATACAGGAGTCTTCAGAAAGCTCATGGAAAACACATTTTAAGAAAAACTGCATGAGACTGGCGTGTTCTTGGACTTAGAGAGCAGAATGTCCAACTTCTGAATGGGATCCCTAGTATCCCAAGGACAAAAGAGAGAATTAAAAATGGGTGAGGTAGAGAAAGACAAGAAGATTTTTGTTCAGAAGTGTGCCCAGTGCCATATCATGGAAAAAAGAGTCAAACACAAGACTGGCCCAAATCTCCATGGCCAATTTGAGCACAAAACAGATCAGGCCACAGGATTCTCTTACACAGATGCCAGCAAGAACAAAGCCATCACCTGGGTAGAGGATACACTGATGGAGTATTTGGAGAACCCCATGAAGTACATCCCTGGAACAAAAATGATCTTCACTGGTATTAAAAGAAGTCAGAAAGAGCAGCATTGATAGCTTATCTTTACAATGCTACTGATGAGTAATAGGTGACCGCTGCCTTATTTATGACAAAACAGAAATGTCTCACCTTTTCTATGTATATCATATTTTAATGGATCTATACCAGAACTTAGATCATGAGTGACTGACAGGACATTTTTGTTGGACAGTCTTGATTTAAGTAAGACTGACTTGTGGTTAAATGAATATTGTTTGTTTTTAAAATTTTGATAGTAATTTCAGTTCAGTAATTGCTATTACTATTTGCCCTTTCTAAAGATATAACTGGTAATTTATTAGTGATGGTCATCTTTCTACCATGATGGTGAATGCTCTCTCAAAACCTACTGGAGGGGGGAACCAGCAGTTAGCGTAATGGCTATGTCGCTGGACTCCCACGTAGTCGACTGTGGTTTGTGTCCTGGACCCGGTGGCTTAAACTCAC